CCTTTGTTCTCGCCTTCATTTTTTTCTTCCAATGTAGACTCTATGGGATATTATTTTAGGCATTTCCCTCCATATCCTCACTCGTTGTCCTTTTGCTGTGTCTGCCCTCATGACCTTCAACTTTGGCTTACTCTAACATCTACCTTGTCTACTTCTACATCTGTTCTGTTAAAGACTTCGGGAGAAGTATTATGCAGTGTTGTAAATTGGCACCACTGTACATTCATGCTTCCGATCTTAGCTGAGCCCTCAGACCACTCCATATTCTTATACCTGTCCTGAACCACCTCACTTCTGTCAGTATCTGTTCTCAACCATTTCCACTTTCTTCCCTCAGAAAATAGCTCTGCCTCCTCCTTCTGCAAGAAAATCCTGGCTACCAGATACTGATTTCCCCAGCATACTACCCCTACCCATGATTTTATCTTTACTCAGACCCACCTTCAGTTCCTTTTCTCTGGCCTTAGAGGAAGAAGTTTCTGTCCTATTTAGGACCAGTCCCCTCACTCATGTCTTTTACCCCATTCTCCTCTGCCTCCTCTTGTTTCTTTTTTCCAACGCTCTCCAGAATTTTCAGCTTTGCTTTCTACTGCTTCTTTTTCCTACACCTGTAAACACATTGCTTACAGGATAAATTACAAATTCCTAAAGCCCTCAGCCATTTAACCACACTTACCTTATATTTCCCCATTTCCCCAATGCAACCCCATACTCAGCACTCTACAACATAGCTATGTAGAGTTGCTCATAGTTCCCTGACTTCTGCATTCCTTTTTCCAGCTCTGTCCTTTTGCTCTCGCCATTCCTAGCACTTCTTCAGCCAAAGTTAATCCTTTTCTCCCTGTCTAAATACCTGCTCTTCTTTTAAGACTCAGCTCATATAACACTTCTCTGTGAAACTTCTGACCCTTTTCACACTGGGCAGAATTGAGAATTGACCCTTCTTCCTTTGTGCTCTCCTGTATACTGTAGAGATTTCTAGACACCATCTATAACCTTTATTGCTCTGGACTATAAGTTACACAAGGACAGCAATTGCTATCAGTCAGCCAGGTCAACAGAAAGGAAAGCTAGATGCAGACAAGAGCAAGAACAAAACAAGGACCCACATCTGTCTCACCACCTTCAACCTCATTGCTGTGGGTAATCTGCAAGAGAAGCTGAAGGAGGCTATCTGGCAGGATCTAGAGGAGCTGCAGGACTGGACACTGTTCCATGCCTACTAGGTGAGCGAGCATGTCAGTGACGTCATGTGCAAGTAGCCATAGTACTTGGCACCATCCATCGACCTTCCGAGCATTACAAATGTGGCTGCAGCTTTACTTCTGCCTTCTAAATGTCACACAAAATATCTCCTGTGGCCATCGCTGACTCAGAACCATTCAGAAAAGAGAATTTTGCATAACATAATTCCATCTCAGCTAAGTTAATACATACACAGCCAGCATACCATGTATATGTATAGTCATGCTCTGCTTAATGACAGGGATTCGTTCTGAGAAGTGCATTGTTAGGTGATTTCATTGTTGTGCCAACATCATAGAATGCGCTTACATAAACCTAGATGGTACAGCCTACTACACATCTAGGTTATATGGTATAGCCTATTGCTCCTAGGGTATAAGCTGATACAGAATGTTACTATATAAAACAATAGGAGATTAAATCAAACACAAGAGAAAATGATGCAATCCAGAGACATGGTAAACAGATGTGTGAGCCTGCTGCTGGTGTAACACGGCATACTGTTTTACACAAACTTATATTAGCAGAAAGAGTATACTCTAAGATAATGATAAAAAGTATAGTATAGTAAATATGTAAACCAGTAACATGGTCATTTATTATCATTATCAAGTATTATGTACTGTACATAATTGTATGTGCTATACTTTTATATGATAGACAGCACTGTAGATTTATTTACACCAGCATCACCACAAACACATGAGTAATGAGTTGTGCTACAACCTTACAATGGCTATGATGTCACTAGGCCATAGGAATTTTTCAGCTTGGTTATAATCTTATGGAACAGCTGTCATATATGTGGTCTGTCATTGACCAAAACATGGCTATGCAGCACATGACTGTTTACTTAAAACAATAACTTTCCATGGTTTTTCGTCCCCTAAGAGACAAAATCCAAACTCCTTAACTTGACATCTAAGAGTCATAGAAGGCTTTCCATGATCTGGCCTCTGGTTGCCTCTCCAGCTTTAATTTTTTACCATTGTATCCTGGGATTGTTGTGTTGTTGTTGTTTTTTTCATTACCTCTTTGCCTTTGTATATGCTAGTTCCTCAATCTGAAATATTCTTTTCCAGCTTTGACTGCCTAGCAAATTTATTCTCATCTTTCAGAACCTACCCAAGCTTTATCCACCCCTGTGAGACCTTATCCTGTGCCTGCTCCCTTAGACAGCTCATTGAATACTCTTCTGTACTAGCTCCCTACATTTTTATATACCACAGTATATTGTAAAATGTTTTTTAACATGTAGTCACCTGGCCAGGCGTGGCTTAGTGGTTGAGCATCGACCTAGGATCCAGGCGATTGGAGTTCAATTCCCCGTCAGGGCACATGCCCGGTTGCGGGCTCGATCAGTGACTCTCTCATCATTGATGTTTCTATCTCTGTCTCTCCCTCTCCTTTCCTCTCTCTGAAATCAATAAAGATATATTTTAAAAACAACAACAACAACATGTAGTCTTCCCTACTAGATTGTGAGCTCCTAAGGAGCTCTGTTTATTTCAGCTCTGTGTCCCCAGTACCAAAGCACAGTACCTGGCTCATGATGGTAATTAGAATAGTTATCATTTAATGAGTGCCCAATATACAACAATTACCAAGTACACACTTTAATTTCTGATCATCCTAATAACTGCAACAGGTAGGTAATATGATAGATCTCGGTGTTTGTTGAATAGAATAAATTAATGAATATATTATCTAAGGTATAAAATTTGCAGTCATGCCCTAGCCAATTTGGCTCAGTGGTTAGAGCATCGGCCTGCGGACTGTAGGGTCCTGGGTTCAAGTGTGGCCAAGGGCATGTACCTCATTTGCATGCTCAATCCCTGGCCCTGTCAGTGCGTGAGCAGGAGGCAACTAATCAATGTGTGCCTCTTTCGCAATGATGTTTCTAGCTCCTCGTTCCACTCTCTCTGAAAAGCAATGGAAAAAATATCCTCGGGTGAGGATTAAAAAAAAAAATTTGCAATCATTTTCTAATTTTCTCTTAAGGGAGTGGAACTTTCTCTGTAAGTGAAATCTCATCTAGAAGCCTAAGATATAAACTTAGAACACAGAGTTATTCTTAGTCAGGCTTCCCTTAGCAGTTCCTAAAGCACCTCCACAAAACTCTAGGACTAATTGAAGCATAATGCTCCGCTTTATAACAGGGAACTGGTATGAAGAAAGATTGTGCCATATTTAGTGGTGAGTTCAGAACTAGAGCCCTGATTCTTTGTCATTGCTCCTTTTCCTACATCAAGCTGCCTTTCAACTTTCATTTAGCTGACTATTAAGCCAGTGATATCACCACAGAATACAGGTGGTCATTAGTCTCAAGATATTGAATATGCCAGAGACATAGGAGGAGATTTTGTGTTATATACCGCTACCTTTACTTATACATATAACCTGAGACCTACTTTCTTTTTTTTAAAATCCCGAATGTGTTTATTGGGATGGTTCCCCACTCATCTTGATTCTGGGTGCTTTTAGTGCTGCTTCCTTCTGAAGGAGCATCCTCTGGAAGCCTTGCTTTATCCTCACCTGAGGACATGCTTTCATTGATTTGAGAGAGAGAAGAAGGGAGAGGGAGAAACATCGATGTGAGAGAAACATTGATGGGTTGCCTCTGGTACGAGGTGAACATGCCGTACTCTCCCCCACCAGGGATCAAACCTGCAACCCAGGCATGTGCCCTGACAAGGAATTGAACCCGGCCTGGTCCACAGACGATGCCCAATCAACGGAGCCCCACCAGCCAGGGCAAGCATGACATTTCTTAAGGCTGAAACCAAAATGGCAAACTAACATAGACAGCAAATCAGGCAGATGCCTTAATTTGACCTAATATATTCATTTGTTTGTTTATTCAGCAACTAATATTGAACATTTACTCTGTGTGAGATAAGGGCTCAATCTATAAAGATAAATCTCTGCCCTCAGGGAGTTTTTGTGTGTTTTTTAAATATATCTTTATTGATTTCAGAGAGGGAGAGAGAGAGTTGAAACATCAGTGATGAGAGAGTCATTGATCGGCTGCCTCTTGCACGCCCCTGACTAGGGATCAAGCCTGCAACCTTGGCATGTGCCCCAACCAGGAATCAATCACAATCTCCTGGATCCTAGGTCAATGCTCAACCTCTGAGCCACACCTGGCCAGGCTGCCCTCAGGGAGTTTTTAGTCTAGTAGGAGAGAGACAAGTAAATAGGCTGTTATCTTAGTGTATGGTAAGTTATCTAATATAGGTGGGCATGAGTGTGAGAATACAAATTTGGGTGAAAGTTTCCTGGAGGAAGTATAACTAGGGAAATCCTGGTGAATAAGTAAATAAAAGTGGGAGTTAGAATTTTACTTTATCTTCCATGCAAAATGGAGTAGCATGTGCCAAATCCTGGAGGAAAGCACGACTGCAGCATGGCTTGCAGGAAGTGGGGCAGTTGGAGTACAAGCAGGAAAAGGTTAGTGACAAGATTTGTGGGTAGGAGTGATAGAATAGAAGGTGGCTCGTCAGTGATTTGGTGGCTTATCTGTTTTTGTTTGATGTCTTTAGAAGCCTAAAAGCCTCATAAAGTATGAAATGGGGCTTCTCTAAAGAGAAGATCTTTTCTGTGGTTGGATCAGAGCTGGTATCCACCACCTTGGTCTCCCCAGAGTGGGGTATAGGCAACATGGCTCTTAAAATTTTTCTAATGCCTACTACCTAATAATAGGATAAAACCCATGTTACCTGATTGTGAGCCCCTATTCTCTTTTCTCTTTGCAGGCACCCTAGAATACGTTTCCACACAGGCCTTGTGGACGCCCATCTCTACTGCATGAAAAAATACGTCGTGGACTTCCTGATGGAAAATGAGTAAGAAGGAGGGAGGGTGTTAGACCCACTGGGCTTAAGCTACTGCCTGACTTAGTTAACAGTTTTTTTGTGGGTTTTGTTTTGTTTTGTTTTGTTTTTTTATATGAGGACATTTATTTGGTGAAATTACAGAGGTGCAAGACGTAATTCCTGGAAGACATGAGCTTAGGAAACAAGTTACAGAGGCAAAGGAAGGGCCCTTGGAGCTGGGGAGTGAGGAAGGTAATGGTAACATTGGGGCGGGGCACAGGGAAAGGCAAAGACAAAGGCGCAGGCGTGCTCCCAGGAGGGAGACTTAGTTAACAGTTTTAAACCTTGATAATGTTAGGTAACCAGTTTACATAAATAACAATTTATTTTCATCTTTGTTCTAGAAATGAAATCGTGTTATCAACGTACTGTTATTTTGTCTATACTGCAGAGTCCCCCACTTGTAGTTTTGGGGCCTGTGTTATAATAAACCAGAAAAATATTTTATAAAACTAATAGTAACCTATGATGCCTCTTTCTGCACAGCTCCAAGCTGTTCTTGCTTCCTTCTGCGAGGGTGAGCTTCCCTGCTCTAGTGCTCTTTGTCTCCAAGTGGATGTCCTTCCTCATCCAATTATCCTGTAGATGGGCCCTCTTAGCAAAGGGCCAGAGAATTCCCCAAGAGGAGGGAAAAAAGAAGAGCAAGTTTCCCTCTGATTTTGGAAAAGAAGTCCACCTCACTGAGAACTTTCATGAATGCAGAGAAACAAAATTTTGTGCTTTTCTGATTTTGCTTTGAGAACAGAACTGTGGGCTTTAATAATTCCCAGAGACTGTCTGGCAGATTACAGAACTTGGTTTCCAGAGGGGAAACCTCCTGTTGCAAGGATTTTTGATAAGAAATGCATTTAGAGTCCTCAGAGGAACAGATGGGGAAAGATTTAATAAGTACATGGGTAACAAGAAGAGCAGCTATTCTCCCTGATGGCTGCTGAATAAGTTTCTGCCTTGAATAATAGCACTGACAGACTGGAAAGCAAGCAGGCTGGTGTGTCACAGCAGCAAGTTTCCTCAGACCAGCTGAGAAATGGAGGCTTAAACCTGAATTTAAATGCCAGCATGCCCTGGGCTGATGGCTTAGATATATAAGAGAAGGGGAATTGTTCCCCTATGCTTCGTATGGTATTTCTTGCAGCACCCTAACCCTCATTCCCCACAACATCTGCTAAACCCTTGTGGGAAGGCCCTTGTAGAGTCAATGGTAAAACAAATCGTTTGGACTCACTGCTTTCCCAGGGATTATAGTTTCTCTATTTTCCCTCCCAGGACACTGTTCCCCTGCTCTCCTCTGACTTATTATTCTGTTTTATCATTCAATCAACAGATACTTATTAAGCATCAGTTATGAGGCAGGCATTGTGCTATGTCAGTTGTAGGAGCAATGGTGAATAAGTGGCATGGGCCCTGCCATCACAGAACTTACGGCTAAGCTCCACAGTGAATTTTAGAGGCTCTGCTTTTCAAATAGCAAGGAGACTTACTGCCAAGATTAGAGAGTGTTCCAGGACCCGTTTTCTAGTTACCAGTCTGGGCTATTCGTATTCCAAAAATGAAGTTAACTCTTGGCCATTAAAGGGTTTATTTTTCATTCCCAAATGAATATGAAGTCCTGTGAAATAGGCTCTCCTTGATGTACTGGTGGGGGTGCAATAGTAGAGATCATGATTTTTAAAAACTATTTACTATGGAAAATTTCACACAAATACAAAAGTAGAGAAAGTAATGTAATGAATTCCCATGGATCCATCGCACCGCTTCAAAAATTATCAATTCATGGTCAATCTTGTTTCATATGCGCCACTACCCATCTACCCACTGTCACACCAGATTATTTTAAAGCAAGTCACTATGATATAATTTCATCTGTAATTATTTCAGTTGAATTATCTGTAAATATTTCAGTATGTATCTCTAAAACATAAACAATATTTTTATCTTGTAAACAAAGACCTTAGTACCATTATAACTTTAAAACAACAACAACAACAACAAAACACCTAACAGTGCTTCCTTAATATTACCAAATGGGATTATAGCTTTTGGTGTCTGGATACAGGATAACAGCATCCTAGCTATAGTAATTCCTTTGTAGCTCATTTGGCCACCACCAGTAGCTCTTTCCACACCTGCCAAGTGTAGTGTAGTTGTATGTCCCTTAAGGACAAGCCTGAATTTGGTGGTTCTGTGGCTTCTAGCCAGAAGCTCTGCCAAACATGACTTTCTCAGAACCTGCTATTATAGAGAATGATTCAGAGCCTCAACTCAAACTGCCTCCCCATTTCAAGATCTGTTAAAGAGACCCTCATCTCTTTCTCCCCATCTACCCTTCACTTCTCAGAGTTGTGGGAATAAAAGTATTATATTGAAAACGGATAAATTTCAATATATTAGGAAAAATGTAAAGACCTAGTAGGACAAATTAGAATGGTACTCAAGGAACATTCTTGATTCTTGGCTGGAATTTCAGTGGAAATTTTGTCTCAAAATTGTGAGAGATAAGATTGAGTAGGTTGGTGGGAGCAGCATGTAGAAGGCCTTGAAAGCTGAGCAGGGAGTTATAGATCTTTAAACAGAATAGTCCCACGTGGAATGAGCAATGATGTAACCTGGTGGGGGAACATGAACGATTCTGGGTGGGAAAGAGGCTCCTTCAAGGGAAGTAGGAGGCATTTATAATAATCTGGTTATGGAATCATGACTTCTTTAAGGATGGAAAGGAAAAATAAATCTAGGAAATGCAACCTAAGAAAAGACTGCTTTAGCAATCTTTTGTTATTTTTCACTTATGAAAGGTAATCTGTTCTGCCCTGTGCCTTTTTTAGTTGTTTACATGTTAATTCTTCCACCAAAATTCTTTGAAATTAGATACCTACCTGGATTTGTAAGCATTCAATATACAGGGGTGGGCAAAAGTAGATTGACAGTTATGAGTACATGAAACAGTTTACTCTTGTATTACTTATGTATTATTTTCATACAAACAACTGTAAACCTATTTTTGCTCACCTCTATATGTTTGGTGAATGGAAGGAAAGGAGATGTAGTGACAGTTCAAACAGCAGAAGTAATTTGGTACATCAGCAATGAAAAAAGAGATGAGGATTTCTGCAGTTGACTAAGTAAAAAAAAAGTATTCTGTCTTTGCTATGTATCCCAGTTACCTTTCAGAAAAGATTTTACCAGTTTATACTCTGGCACCCTTTGTATGAGAGTAATGATCTCAAAGCACCCTTATTAGTAATGAGAATTATTTTAAATCTGCTAATTTGGGGGTTAAAAATTACAGCTTGTTTTAATTTTTATTTCTTTAAAAACATTTTTATATTTTTTGAACATTTATATCTACTTAGGATATCAATCTTTTGTCCTATTTGTAGCAATTATTTTCTTTTTAACTTGATGGAGTTGTTTGTTTACTGCTAGTAGTCAAGTCTGTTGTTCTCCTTTGTGATTTCTTATTTCTTAGGAGCTTATAATTTCATGTGATGGGTGTTTCTGGGAAGGCTGTGTATAAGAGGGAAGGGACAGAGTGAGGTTGCCCAGGTCCAGGGCAGTGAGTGGATCCAACTGCTGGTCTTCGGCCCCAAGGTCAAAATGTTCACAATGGTTCACAGTAGCCTGTCCCACTTCTTAGCACAGCTTTGAGCTGCCTCTACTTTGAGTAGGAAACAGGAAGAGTAATTTTGGCCTCCATTATGCTGCTAAGCCAACTGCATTATGAGAACTGACCTGATGTTTCGTGCCAGCAGAGGCAGGTAGGAAATGGCTGGACTGCTTCATGTCCTCTCCTCATATCACTGCCTGATCTCCTTCAAGGGCACTGCCTAAAGGGGCTGTGTGCCAAGACTTGTTTGCTTGCCTCTTGCAGTGACATTTCTGTTTGGTCCATGATGTAAATACCTCTGAAATCCCCCAGCTGTCCATGCTTTGTCATTTCTTCAAAGGGAACTGACTTGTTTTCCACCCGAGGGGGCCAAGGAACATTTGCTACCCACACTGGTTTGATGCATTAAAAGGGAGGAAAAAGGGCTAAAAGTAAATGTGGTTTCATTCTTTCTATTCATATGGAAATTTTTTATCTCCATCAAAGGGTCAGAAGAAAAATGTCATTGAAATTCAATACCAGAGCATCCAGCTTACGCAGAATTTTTCAAAGATGTTTGACTTGATCCTTTAAAAAATGACAAAAACCATGAACTGTGTAGCTCCCGGGTTCATAATTTTGCTTTCCCTCCTCAGTCTCTGCCGCCGGCTTGCCTTCCTACCTACAGAGCTTCTTTGAATGGGGGGTGAGGGGTGGGGGAGAATATATGGCAGCAACCAGATTTATAGGGAGAGCTGTTTTTAGTCCTGTTACTGCTCTCCCTGAGTTCATTCTTTTCATTCCAGGCCTATTTTCACTTCTACTAGAATTATCTTACTGAGAAATAAAACTGATCATGTCATTTTCCTGCTTAAAAACTACCACAAAAGACTCCTATGAACTGGCTCCCTTACTACCTAATCAGCCTCATCTCCTACCTTTCTCCTTAAATTCATAATCAGGCTACTGTCCACTGGATTATGAATTATTTGAAGTTAGAAACTATATTTCCAAGTCCCTACCACAGTTCCTGACATATTAATAGATGCTTGTTAAATGCTAAATAAATTAATTAGTGATTTAAAATTCTAACAAGGTCACAGTGTGAGAGAGAAAACTAAACATTATGTGCTTTCATTTCCTTTGCCCGGTATAAATCAAAAGCATATTCACTCTACTAAGGATCAGGTCCCTTCATCCCCGTTACAAATTCCTGTCTCAATAACCATTAAGAAGCACCATCCTTCCTGAGACCCAAAAAACCCAAATGAAGGAGAGCTCCAAACCTCTTGGCCAGAGTTACTTACTGCTTGTAATGTAATGTAATGTAAAAATCGTGCTGGAATTTTTTTGCTTCTGGAAGTTCTTTTACACATTGATCTTTGATCTTATTTTCTGTAAGTACTGCCCTAGACTAATTTGATTACATAAAAGTAAATTGAAATTAACTTTGTTGTAGAAATTCTTTGATAGCCATTTGTAAATAAGTACAACCGTTGTAATATGAGGGAACCCTCTCTTAAGTAGATAGAAGTGTTACCAGATGCCACCAGCTACAGTCTGGCCTGTAGTATGTGGGTTCTTGACTTCATGCAGGAAATATTTCACAATACAAATCCAGGTAATTTTGAGAGTACATTTATTAAAGCTGGGGACAGTGAAACAAAGGAAAGAGGGTAGAAAAAGCAACAGGAGAGAGCCTAGGCAGTGCTCTGCTTTGGATCCCTAGAAATGTTATGTGAAAGAAGTGAGCAAAAGTAGGGCTGCTGTTAGCTCACTGGAAAATCAGACAAAAAGGGGGCCTTGGAGACAGGATCAGGGGGTAAGCCCTGGACGAGTAGCTGCCTACCACTGCTCCCCTGTTTGCAAGTCTTGTGGGGACCCTTAAAATTTAGGAGGAAGTATAAAGTTCATGCCCAAGAAGGGGCATGGGTGTGGTCCAGAGAGAGCCTGCACTGGCTCTTTGTCTTGAGGGGTTTTTTCTTTCTTCTGGGGTGAGAATTTTAGGGCAGGGGATGGGGGCTTCAGTAGAACATTCATTTTCCAGGTACATTTTTAATATGTTGATGCATCAAAATGAGCCGATAGAGGAGTTTGGGATTATTCTTTGGTCTGCTTTACTGTTTAACTTTTATCTTGGGTCTGTCTGACTTTAATGGGGTTTTTGTTCTTTGTTCCCCTGACTTCATCTGTCCCTGGATTTGGCTAGCACAAATGACATTAATTGGGTCTCTGTCCTCTATCTCCTCGCCCAGGATGTTATGTTGTTGTTGTTTTAATATATAATTTTTTTTTTACTTTTTAAATATGTCTTTATTGATTTCAGAGGGAGGAAGGGAGAGGGAGAGAGAGAAAAATACCAATGATGAGAGAGTCATTGATGCCTCCTGCATGCTCCCTACTGGGGATCAAGTCCGCAACCTGGGCATGTGCCCTGACTGGGAATCGAACCATGATTTCCTGGATCATAGGTCGAGGCTCAACCGCTGAGCCACACTGGCCGGTGGGTGTTATGTATTTAAGTTATGTATTCTCTGGTTAGGGAGGGGAGGTATAAACCATTTGCTTTCAACTGTCCTTGGTTAGGGAAGATAAAGTCTTGCAGTTCACTAGCTGGCTGTAAGTTATTCAAATTGTTTGGCCTTGTTTAATTTTCTTGTCTGTTTCCCCATTCCACTTGCCCAGGAATTTTCCTACCTTCTTACTATCCTGCCTCAAAAGAATGAAATCTACATGGGAAGTACTTAGTCATTAAATTGTATTTTAAATTTACAGAATCTGAATCAAACCAGTAGAGCAGCTTCATAGAAGCTAAGAAAAAGAGAGACAAGAAACTTAAGAATGGCGTAAAATTGTAGAATTCAATAATTTGCATAAAGATAAAAGAATCTCCCATATCCTCTCTACTGTGAGGAAATACAGAGCAGAAATCTTGTATACAGTCTTTGAATAACACAGCTGTTATTATTAGAAAAAAAGAAAGTCATCACCAAACAGACTAAAGGAGAAAAAGTATGATAAGCTCCATAGATGCAACAACAAAAATTTTAAGTAAAATTTAATACCCATTCATTGATGAAAGCTCTTAACAAATTAGGAATAAAAGAGAACTTCCATAATCTGATAAAGGGTATATACAAAAAAGCCTATAACATGTACCAACTATTAGCTATAAAGCATGAAGCCTAATATCTACACATAGAAGACAGTAAGTGGTAGCTTTGATGATGAAAACAATAACTACAACAATCTCAGTCTAAGTGATAAAATACTAGAAGAATTATTTTTCTTTTTAAAATCAAGAACAAATAAGGATGACTGCTGTCAGTACCTCTATTCAGCATTGTACTGGAGATCTTAGCCAATATGGTAAAAGAGGGAAAATAAAATATATAGGGATTAGAAAGGAAGAAAGAAAATTGTTGTTTTCATAGTTGGTATGATTGTCAGAATTAACAAATACATCACTAGAATTAATAAGATTTTTTAGCAAGGCAATGGGCTATAAGGTCAAAATAGAGAATAAGTTGAATTTCTATAAACCAACAACAAGAAGAAAATAATTGTTTAAAAGATAACATTTATAATACCAACAAAAAATATATGACACTTAGGATTATTCTATCAGAAGATAAGCAAGGCCTTTATGGAGAAAGTTTTTTAAACAACTTTTTTCAAAAGATCAGAGCATTCTACCTTCTCATGGGTTATTGCCAATTATGAGTCAAGGCATCATGTTAAAATACACACACACATACACACATGCACACACATACATGCTATGTAGATGGGGCTTTGTGAAAGACTGTTTTCTCCATAGATCATGGGACAGGAGTCCCAAATTCAGTATACCACCCTCCTACCTCCAGCCTAAAGCTGATAGAGAACTTAGATCCACTGCTTCTCCAGAACTGCCAAGTTCATGCCAATTTTGATCTCTATCAACCCCAAGGTGGCTTTTCCTTGGATGCACAGAGTTTTTGATCCCTCTAGGATCCAGTCCGATTTCTCATATTTGACCACTCTTTCTTCCTAGGTCAATCACTTCTATCCGGAGTGAACTGATTCCATACCTAGTAAGAAAACAGTTTTCCTCAGCTTCCACACAACAAGGACAAGAAGAAAAAGAGGAAGATCTAAAGAAAAAGGAGCTGAAGTCGTTAGGTCAGTGCCTCGGTTGGTGCAATAAGGTCAGGGTAGCAGCTCCTTTGGAAAGAGTGGCTGGGCAGCTTAACCCAGCCCAAAATGCCTGTCTCAAGGCAACAGATTTTTGTCTGGCTAGGTGGTAAGACAGGCTGGGTGATGCCACTCCCTGAGCTCTGGGTCAGCTTGCCCAAGCAGATCCTGTCGCTGTGGTCTTGAGGGACAAGCTAATCAGGCCCCAGGTTCAGTCTCTGACTCATAGCTCTGGTTTGGCTGTGTTCCTTACTAGACTATTTTAACTTTAAATTCTGCCTACCACTTCACAGTTCCCCTGTTTTCTAGGCTCTGGGCAGCCCCACCTCTGACTAAATTCAGCCTCTTCTGTCAAGGAAAGAAAGGTATACGGTTACAGTCCAACCAAAGGCCAACCAGAGGTCTCCTTTCCAGGGTGTAGGGCTGAGGTCTGACTTGTTTGCTCTCATATCCCTGCCTAAAAATATATATTTATCAAGTGAATTATTACCTCTGTGACCTGAGGGAGGGTACTTAGTCTTCTTTTTCTTTTTTTAAACCGGTACATTTTATTTGACCTTAGACAACATACTCCCCAGTTTGTCTCAGTTGTGATATATAGATGGATTTAGATTACTTTTTGTATTCAGTCTTCTGAACCCAGTTTTCTTATCATAAAATAAGAGACCCCAAGTGATTATTTTAAGAGTTGAAAAACAAGGTCTGTGCTATTTCTGTCCTGGTACAACTACCTGATATGGTAATGGAGGCTAGCCCCACAGTATGGCAGGTTGCTAAAACCTGGACACTTGCTTGTGTTACTTGATGATTTACAAGAGTCACCTATTTTATTTTCCCTAGTAGTGCTTAGTTATTGGTCAAACTTGCTTTAGGACCTCTTTTTAAGCATTTTTGTATCATATAATATTTCAAACGTACAAGAAAGCACATTGCCTCTTTTAATTTTACTTAGTCTTTCAGGTTTTAGTGGGATTTCCCCAGGGTCCATGCTGCATGGGTGAGTTCCAGGGGCAGAGGTGTGAGCTGTGCCCTCTCAAAACTTATTGAGTCTCTGTCATCTCTCTTGTTCACATGCTTGGTTTGGTTGTTTGTTCTGAAGATATTTACAGTTTTATCAAAGAAGCCAATACACTGACCTTTGCTCCCTATGATGGCTGCTGGAATGCCTGTCGAGGAGACAGATGGGAAGACTTATCCAGATCACAGTTGCGCTGCTATGTCCACATAATGAAAGAGGGGCTCTGCCTTCGATTGAGCACCCTGGGACTCTACATAGAAGCAAACAGACAGGTGAGAGGATGGGTTTAGAAGAAAAATTATGGGAGCTCTTTCCCTAGAAACAGACTGAGTCTTTTATATTATTTCTTCATTAGGTAGACAGTGATTCGTTCAGAATCCTTTCATTCCTAAGTTTGAGAAAGACCTGGACTATCGGGAGACCATTGGGGTACCCAGGTACAGCAACAGTGGCAGCAGAGAGCCTGGTCTATAGAGGCAGAGCCTCTGTGACCCCAAGGAGAGGCTAAGATCTCCAGGAACACTAATTTATGGCCTCTGGGTTCAGCAGCTTTCCTCTATTCTGCTCAGCATGGGGATATCTACAGTACTTCATAAACAAGCAAATAAATACTGCATAATCATTACTGTGTTGAGGTAAACAGGCACACAGAGGAGGCTTTCCTAAGAAAGTGAACAGAATATAGAGTAGCCAGATGGCGAAGCCTCAAGGAAGGAATGTCTATGAGAGAGAAACGTCTGGAAATAGCATTAGAGGGTAGGGAGTCTTCGTAACCCCTTTTTATAACCCTGAGGTTTATGAGATATGGGGAATGGGTGGCTTCTATTGAAGGGGAAGCAGTGCCGTGAAAGACAAGCCAGGCTTTAGTTTAGTTAAGGGGTACAGAGGGGGCAGTGAAGAGGCTGAGGGTTTACGGGAGCTCTTTATTGTGTAGCCGTCACAGGGGGAAGGTTTTAGGAGAGAGGGATGATGCGACCATGAAGCACAGAGCAGTAAAGGGTTGAAATGAGAATAGGAAAAGATAGATGGTTGAGGGAACTGCATTAGAGTGGCACTCAAGGGCAACAGGGATGAGATGGTCAAAAGATTAGTCGATTCCTGGTAGAACCTTATGAAAACTGTCAGTGCAGGTGTTAGCTGGGGAGTGGGGTGGAGAGGTCAGGTAGAGTGATTAAAGATGTTGAAAATTGGGATTGGGACTGAGTCCCTGAAGAAAACCTGGTTTGGGAATCTTCAGAACCCACACCATATGGTGGGTATATCCCCAGCCCCAGACCCCAAGCTGGCCTCATCCTGACTTGGTTATAGGTCCAAGGGAATCCAGGCCAGGGAGTTTATGGGAAATCACGACTAGTCGCTTATTTACTCCGGGCAGTGCTAGATAAGGTTCGCCCCAGTTTAGGGTCAGAGCTATTAGAAAGCTTCCCTAATTTGACTTTTAATTCTCTTTCTTCAATTCTATGACTCCAGTCTGTCAGACTGGTCAAAAGCAGGTCCATGGACAGCCTGAGGCTAGAGAGTTATCCTCTGAAGTCCAGCAAGGGCTGTACAGCGGACAGGCCTGAATGGCCTCAGTTGAAGTGTAAAAGAGGAGATCCCAAGGATAGGGACTGAGGGATTCGTACTCCTATTGCCAGTGTAGCCAGTCCTGGCAAGGTCTCCCTCAGCCATGTGGCCACCACACACAGTAGGATATCATATTATTCTGCCCACATTAGAGAATCACAGATAGGCATGCTACCTCTGCCTTCTTAACGGGTCCAGAGCGAAAAAACTCCATACTCAGAACCTTTTCAGTTTTCTCATACTGGTGAGAGAATGGTGGGGACTTCCCCTTCAGCATTTTATTTTGGCTGGTGAAGGACATGGATGCTTTCTCAGGGTCTGTCCTGATTATGGAATTTGTCCAACACTGCTCCCATCTTCACCTCATACATGGCCATAGCGGTTAGGAGATGAGCAAGATCCTAGAATCACTATGGTCAGGACTCAGGATGTTCCTTGCCTTCCTTAGGCCTCCTCTCCCAAGTGCTACCTGGGTATCTCAAAGGTTTATCTCAACACCTCCCAGCTGAGGGACAAGCATTACTTTCAGGGATGATACTCTCAGCTCAAAAACTGAGGGTAAGACCATCTAGAAGCTGCTGCATAAATAACCCATGTCCCAGGGAAAAATGCAGTAGCCTCCTGCTCTGCCTCATCCAGACAGGAAGCTGTGGCTGAAAACTCCCCACATCTCTGGCTGGGCATTGGCTTCTACCTAAGGTGCTTTCAGGTGTTTTCTGGTTTTACTTTAATTACCATACCTCTTTCCTCAAGGTGCCCAAATTGCTACCTGATCTTTGTCCAGAAGAATCCCTGGTCCATTCATCAGCCCAGATTGTCAACAAACACTTGGTAGGTACTAGCTTGGGCAGGGCAGGTATGGGACAATCTCTGGGTATGTCGAGTCTTGTCCTTGTGAAGCTGAATTAGGCTCTCAAGCCCAGAACCTCATTAGTCCCAGGGAAATCCCAATTGGGTTCTGGTTATAAAATTTCACCTTCCAGCCCTGGCCAGTGTGGCTCAGTTGGTTGGGCAGTGTCCTGTGCACCAACGGGTTGCCAGTTCGTTCCCAGTGAGGGCACATGCCCACATTGTGGGCTCGATCCTCAGTGGGGAGCATACAGGAGGCAGCCAATTGATGTTTTGCTCTCATATCTCTCTCTCTCCCTTCTTCGTGCTGTAAAAATCAATAAAAAATCTTTAAAACAAAATTTGTTTTTCACCTTCTAGCCTAGGCACTCTAGAATCTGCCTGGACAGGTATACAAACCCTATAAGGAAGGTCCATTATAATCCTGGAACTCAGACACAGGAGCTCTTCATTTCTCTCCCTCTTCTTACCCCAATTTCAGCACTGTCTTCAAGAGAGCATATCTATATACCCAGGTGCATGAGTGTGTAAGTTTGAGTTGGTTTCAGAGGTATTATGTGACCTTGTGGCCCTGAGAAATACTGATGATGGTTTCTCTTGCTGAAGCATCTCTGGGAAAATATCCTATTAGACCCCAGCTCAAGGGATCTTGGGGGTTAGTTTGCTTTTGGCTGAGATGAATGGACAAGGTTTTATATTTGCCTTTTGCAGGTTGGCGTTGACTGCCTCGTCGGGCCAGATACACAGGTTGGAGAGAAATCATCCATTAAGCACTCAGTCATTGGTTCATCCTGCATCATAAGAGACAGAGTGACTATCGCCAATTGCCTTCTCATGAACTCAGTCACCGTGGAGGAAGGGTATGTTTCCCCTTGTGCCCACTTGAGACAAGGCCCCTGGTACCCCCTGGAGGCTTTGGGGGCCAGTAGAGCCGAGGAAGGGGCTCTGCTTGGGGAAGGAAAGAAAGAAAAAAGAACGAGGGGGGACTGGCTCTAGGCCCTTTGAGGTCTCAGTTTTGGTTCCATAGTGAAATGATCTCTGAAAGCATTTCCAGCAGCCTTCTCACACTTATGACAATCGTCGTCCTGGAAGAAACTGCCCTCTCTTGCTTTGATATCCTGCTTAATGGGACGGCCTCAGTAGTGAGCCACTGGCAGGGCTGGAATGACACTCTCCTGATATCTAAGGGTCACCTGCCTTATCTCAGTGTCCAGAGCAGCCCTGAAAAAAGACAGAGGCTTAGGAGGAGTAGATGTATAAGCCACACACTGTTTTTGAGGGAGAGTTTCTCTGTTACTAATATGGAGAATATCCCCCCATTTTGAGATCCCATACTGTCCTAAAATCTTGATTTATGAACAGCCTATACTTAGAGTAAGAAAACTTGAATGATATGTAGTAGGATTCTTCCTCTCTATGGACCTCATGTATTTTCTTGTATAAAAAGCAAGCATAGGTGATGGCAGAGAGGAAGGATATTACCAATTCAATGGTTTTCAGACTTTAGAAAGGTTTTCAGACTTTTTCTTAAATGTAGTATTTAAAACTGATAAATGCATGGTAGTTTGGAATACAGCAGGGAAGGGGCACTTGTCCTTCCTATAGGATGTGAAGCAGATCTATAAATCAAGTTTTGAAAACCACTGGGCTGGATCAGCCTGAGATTGATTCTAGCTCACGCATCTGTGGCTTTCCCTGTCCAGGAGCTGGTAGGAGGGAAGAATAGGGGAAGACTGCAAGGCTGGCAAACGATGAACTACCTCTCACAGCTGCCATGGTGGGTTGGGAGAAGCATTTTGGGAAGAGGGATAGAACTAAAGGTTAAGCCTTTGCTCTTTAGGAAGAATGACAATGGAAGATGATAGACAGGATTTAGGGAGGAAGTGCCATAATAAAAACCAGGACAGTTGGAGACCATAGGGATGTTGGCCTCTAAGATCTGTTGTTCCCCAATCCCACTACCTGACTTGACTTCCAGAACCCTTGCAACCAGCCCTAATGCCTTCAGCCAAAAGTTTGGAAGAATCTTCTCTGGCGAATCCAACCAGCCCAAGAAGAAAAACCTACATTTATTTACATCAGAGATTTCTAACAGCCCAGTCAAATCACCCTGTAGTGACAAATTTTATTATGTGCTTAGAGCTTCCAATCAGCTTTTTTTTCTTTTTTTCTTTTTTTTTTTTTTTTATGTCTTTATTGATTTCAGGGAGAGGAAGGGAGAGAGAGAAAAAAAAAACATCAATGATGAGAGAGTCATTGATTGGCTGCCTCCTGCATGCCCCTGACCGGGGATCGAGCCCGCAACCCAGGCATGTGCCCTGACCGGGAATCAAACCACGATCTCCTGGATCCTAGGTTGATGCTCAACCTCTGAGCCATGCCCAGCCAGGCTCCAATCAGCTTTTAAGAATTCTCTCCTAAATATAGAGGCATAATCAAAGGTTACCAGAGATCTAAAGAAAGCTTCTATCATGAAAGATAGAGACCACGTCAAACAAATAGAAAAAAGCAACTCAGAAGAAACAGAGGCTCTGCAGGGAGAGAGAAATACTTTCAAGTAACCTGTCATTTCAAAGAACAGAAAAAGAACTTCAGGCAATTAAAAATATGGTAACATATTTCTTATTTTAGAAACATCTCCTCATTTTGATCTTAGCTCAGATTTCACTATTTAAGAAGAAGGCTGACTACCCTATCAGTAGTAACCTGTCCTAATACCTTCCATTATGTCAACCTTTGTAGCATTTTATATCCTTTGTAGCATTTTTACTGCCTGGCCTGAAGTACAAATTGGCCCTGGCCAGGTTGCTCGGTTGGTTAGAGCATCATCCCAGTACACCAAGGTTGAGGGTTCAATCCCCAGTCAGAGCACATACAAGAAGCAACCAATGAATGCATAAATAAGTGGAGCAACAAAATCTCTCTCTCTGTCTCTCTCCTCCCACCCCTGTTCCTCCCTCTCTAAAAAAATAAAAAGAAGAGGAAGTACAGATTGGTAGTTACAAAATAGTCATGGGAATATAAAGTACAGCATAAGGAATATAGTCAATAACATTATAATAACTATGTTGCCAGGTGGGTACTGGAAATATCAGTGGGAACACTTTGTAATATGATTGTCTAACCACTATGCTGTACACCTGCAACTGATACAAAATAATATTGAATGTGAACTAATTTAAAATAAAATTTAAAAAAGAGGTCCTAAACTAAGGCAACAGCAGTGGAGATGGGAAGGAGAACTAATAAGGTGATAATAACTATAAAACATGGTGGCTGCCTAGATATGTGAGGTAAAAGAGTGAGAAATTAAGATGCCTGGGTTTTGCTTGAGCAATAAGGTTTCTCGTGTGCTGTTCACTAAGGTAGGAATCAATAGAGGAGGAGCAAGATTTGCAAGGTGGTAGGCAGGGAAATGGTGAGTTCCTCTTGGGACAAGTTGAGTTCATGGCAGGCAGTCTCAATGTGCAGGACTGGAGCTCAGGAAAGAAGCCTGTACAAAGTACAGATTTGGGAGTGGTTGGCATAGAAATGGTAACTGAAGCCATGGGGAGTAGATAAGATCACTCAGGGATAGTGTGTGGCATTAAAAGAAAAGAAACCAAGACAAAATCCTGGGGAACATCAGCAGTTTTAAACATAAAACATGGGATCTAAGGGGACTGACAAAGTGCTCAGGGAAAGGGTGTAAAGGGCAAGGGAGAGGTCAGTTGGTAGGTGAAGCGCACGTTTCTAGTTGGGTAAACGGTAGATGGTGCAATACTCACTGAGATGAGGAAGGGTGAGGGAGGAGCAGGTTTATGGGGATGGAAGGCCTGTGAAGGGCACATGAGGTTGGACGTACCTCATCCAGGTATGTAAAGGTATCTAGTAGCCAGTTTGATTAGAGGTTAAGAGAAAAGGTCAAACCCAGATACCTCTTTCTGAATCACTGTGATCTTTTCTAATTTATTTTCCTGTCTCCATTTTTCTTTCTCTTCCAAATCCTCCCACCATGTAACCCACCATCTAAAGTATGACTTTAGAGTCAGACTGCCAGACTGAGTCCTGGGTCTGTCACTTACTAGTCACTTAGGAAATTGGCTTTGCCTCTTTGTGCCTGATTTTCTCTCTATAAAATGGAGTAAAAACTGAGCTACTTCACAGGTATGTTAGGAGTACAAAGCAAGTTAACAGACATAAAGCCCTTAGAGCAGTACATGGCACATAGAATGTTAGCTGTCATTTTATCATCATCACCATTACTTTATCTCATTGCACTGAGGTGGCGTGTTGCCAGCATTGTCTTCCTAAAGGATATTTCTAATCATATCCCTGTTCTATTAAAAAACTTCTGAAGACTCTCCATTACCTTTAGAGAATTAAGTTTGAACTTCAAGTTCTCATGATCTAGCTCCATCACTGAGTCCTGGAATGTTAGAGTGAGATGGGTCCTTAGAAATCATCTGTGTCACCTCCTGCACTTTTACAGATAAATAAATTGTGGCATTCCAGACTTTTGTCTCTTTGCACCCTTGCTATTCCATGCCCCGTTCTAGATTCCTGTGTGAGACTGACAGACCTCCCCATTCTCTTGAAAACCATAACTACACTTTTCTTTAGGAACAGCTCTCTAGCACCTCTTTAAAGTCCAGTGTTAGTGTCCTGGTTTGACATGAAGAGACTTGGTGAGAAAACCAAGGCTAAGAAACTCCAGCTTGCTTATAGGAGAGAAGTTCATGAAAAAGGCCTAGCATAATATCCCAGAGTCAATTACAGTTTTGGAAGAGGTAGAATCTTGGATGGCCTAATAAGGTTTCTAGCTGGGGAAATAATAAAGGTTTAGATGGCGGCGGCTGCTATTTTTCCAACTAAAACAGTTGAGGTAAAGTTATGGCCCGCATGGGGTTAATGACCAGGAAGGCCATTAGGGATTACCCAGCCCTGCAAGTTAGCTCAGTGATAAGATCAGACATCCTGAATCCCACATGAACTTTTTCTCATTATTTTCAGGTCATTTAGTTTTAATTACTTATAAATTTGGGAAGGTAATTAAATTGCAGTCATGTGAGACTTGATTACTCTGCTGCTATTACATCTGGACTGAGTGGTAGAGTAGGAGCATGAATTTGTCCAGAGGGAGTTTCTCATACTAGTTTGCTTGTCTCTGCCAACAGTGATGAACGGCTGAAGCTTTCTGGACAGTGGCTTGGACACCTGCCCAAGGTCCTCGGGGCTGAAGGGATGCTAATAGGACCACCTTGGGGAAGGTGTAGGCGAGACTATGCAGAGACGGCTCCTGCCTGTCTTTCTCATTTTCTACCACTTCCAATTTATATGACAGCTGATGCTCAGCAATCCAAAGTCTAGTGGAAACTTCATTGTCAAGACTTCCATGTCAGTCCTGTGTTCTGCATCTTTGGCCCTTAGTCCTGAGCAACATCTCCTGCATTTTCTCCAAGTCCAAGGTGAATGACCTAAGCTGCAGTCTAGGGTGGCACCTTTACATGTAGGCAGGCCAGGAAACCAGGTTTTCACCTAGATTTTCCATGCTTTCTGCAAGCAGCAAGTGCAGCCCTCAGGACCAAACAAGATGATACTACTGCTCACTGTTATCCTGAATGTTCTCTTCACCTACATTCAACTGACTGCCCTGCCCACTGGGTCCCTTACTTTTCTACAACCCTTTATTCCTGACATTCATTCTGCCTGAATTGCCTCTCTCTAGAGATCTTTACCTATAGAAATCCTACTCATCTTTCAAGGTCCAATACGTATTCTAGTTCCTACATGCAGCTTTCTTGAATTGTCCTAGCAAGAAATCATTTTCCCCATTTCTGTGTTCCCTGTGCACCCATAACACTTTACTTATGCTCACATGACACTGTACCTTTCTCTTTTCCTCAACAAGACTGTAAGTTCCTTGAATAGAGAAATACTTCTCGTATGTATTTGTATTACTTAACTCCTAATGCTGTACATTGTATATACTAGATACTATGTAAGTATTTACTGAATGAAAATTATTTAAACCCCTCTACTATAAGTGGCTGAGTATCTGTCAAGAGAGCCCTGTCTACTTCTAGAAAAAAATCTCAGAGTATTTTACTCCTTGAAGCTCAACAAATGAAAATAAATCCTGGATTACTGCCACACATACCCATACACAGACTAAAGAATATCTGCCAGACACATAAAATTTAGATCATATCTGCCCTGCCAGGTGGCTCAACTAGAGCATTGTCCCATACCCCTAAAGGTTGCAGGTTTGATTCCCAGTCAGGGCCCATACCTAGGTTTTGGGTTTGATACCCGGTCAGGGCACATATGGAGGCAACCGATCAATGGTTCTCTCTCTCTCTCCCCCTCCCTCTCCTTCCCTCCCTCCCTCTAAACATATCCTCAGGTGAGGATTTAAAAAAAATCACTGGGCTAAGATTAGGAGGATTTGGCATCTGGGAAGATATGCATGACTCAGACATAATCTTTAGGCTGAAGTAGCGAGTCAGATCTTTAGTCACATGCCTAGAAAAGGTTATGAGCAAGTTTAGAAAGCCTGCCAACTAACCCCAGAGAAGAACCTGCCTGTCTTCAGAGTTACTATCTTCAGAGTTTCATGGCTCTTTGCCGAATACTGCCGAGTCCACACCTGAGGCAGAAGCCCATGACACAGTGGAGAGTCACCACTATGTAGGCTTGGGCACATTGCTTAACCTCTCTGATCCTCAATTTTCTCTGCAAAAATTAGAATAAATACCATTACCCTACAGGTTTCCTAAAAGGATTAAATTATGCCCTAGCCACTTTTTCTCAGTGGTTAGAGCGTCCTAGGTTCGATTCTGGCCAAAGGCATGTACCTCGATTGCAGGCTGGATCCCCAGCCCTGTTCAGGGTGCATGCAGGAGGCAACCAATCGATGTCTCTCACATTGATGTTTCTCTCCCTCTCTCTCCCTTCCACTCTCTCTGAAAAGCAATGGAAAAAATATCCTTGGGTTATGATTTTAAAAAGGGATTAAGTTACATAATGAGTATAAAGTGCTTTGTGTAATCGAGATGTGTTAGACATTAGATTTATGTGAGTCCCCTTTCCTCCTGGAATAAACTGAAGAAAGCCCTAACTGGAGCCAGAAGAGGAACAAGAATTTGGAGGCACTCTTGCTTCCCAGCTCAGGGCTTCTTCCTCATGTCGTATGCCACAGCGTCTGGCTTGCTGAGCCTGGCCAAGTGGTGATCTTATTGTAGACCTCTGTGTTTTCTCCTAGCCTCCTCTCCATTGAAGTATGGGTAATTTACCCTTCATTTGCAGGGTAATTTATCAAGACCTACAGCTTTGCTTAAAATTTAACCCCACCAAGGAGAAATGAGGACCAAAACCCCATTAATCTTGGCCATCTCTGAGCTGCTTCTTAGAGAACACAACCAGGCATTAGCACAACAGAGCCCTTAGTACCCAGTTGAGAGTTAAAACTACATGCAAGCCCAGCCTAGCGACTGAGCATCGACCTAGGATCCAGGAGATCGAGGTTCGATTCCCAACCAGGGCACATCCTGGGTTGCAGGCTCAATCCCCAGTTGGGGGCGTGCAGGAGGCAGCCAATCAATGACCCTCTCATCGTTGATGTTTCTATCTCTCTCCCTCTCCCTTCCTCTCTCTGAAATCAATAAAGCTATATTAATTTTAATAGGTGCAAAAACTGTAGTTCTAGCACTGGAGCCAGTTCTTTTCTTGAGTTACATAGGAAGCTACCTTCCCACTTTAAGCACTGAGCAGAAAAGGCAAAGTCATTACTGTGGATTAGCAACCTGGAGAGGGCTTGTTTCATATAGTAGTATCTGTCCTTCCCCTCTAGCATGAACAAACACACACACTTCCAGTAAAATCTTTAACCTTAGAGTTTCTTTCTGTACAGAGGGAAGGGGTATAGTGACTTGAAATTTTTCCAAAGTACCTCAGCCTTGCTAATGGAGGTAACTTGTGACCATAGCATGATCATGGGGAACAATTGAAGAAACAAGTGGTAGAAAGAGCTTCACATTCACTAAGCATTTTGTCAGGTGTTCATCTCAAAGCCTCCCACAGATCCACTGACCAAGAGCCTCAGGAGAGCCCCCAGCTTCCCATCAATCAACCTAATTTTTCCCTTTCACATCTGCAGACTCCACAGGAATGGTTTATGTGTCTCAGAGGGTGTTACACACAAACTAAATGAGAAAAGCCATATGGGAAGTTCTGAAGACCTCAATCAGACCTGCTCAACATAAGGAGAGCCCAGGCTATCCATTGCTTTGGGAATCTGACCTCAGACATTCCAGCCTCCTCCTTTCAGACATGGTTCCCACTTATATCCTAGATTCCAAAATAGCCAGTTAGTAGTCTCTAATTATGGCTGCTTAAGTTTCTGTTGGCTGTTTTTTGTCTGCTGGCCATGTTTACCTCTTGCCTAGCTCCAGAGCATGCTTTCACATTCACAGGCTCTTAAAACTACTGAGCAGGAAACATCCCCTACTCCCCACCTTGGAAAAAGAAAGGAGACTTTTCAGTGACAAACTAATATCCAGTTGCAAGCCTGCTCTGTCCCAGGAGCCTGTGTATCTGAGGCTTTCTATACGTCATTACTATTCTTTTTGGGAGAATTTTCCCAAGGAGCAGGAACTCCTCTAACTTCTGACTGGACCGCTTTGCTTAAAGCAGAGGGCAAGTTGAAAAGCTCTGGAGGGTCCCTTAATGCCCACCCAGTGAGTGTATCCTGAGTTTGAGCCAAAAAAACACACAAACTAATTCTGTCTCCACCCATCTCTAGCCCATACCACAGAGGTGCTATGGCTTTAGCCTTTTACTGCTTTCCGACAGGCTTAAAGAAGAATAGAGATAAAGAAGATTCTGGAGTGCCATAAAGTGCTAGATTTATTTTATTTTATCTTGCATTTTACTAAAGTTTTGGTGTTTGGGAGAATCTTTTTTAATGGCCTGTGCATCGATAGTTTCAGTCCTTAGAACATCCCTTCTCTATCCCCCATGCCTCCTAGGTTGCGTGAGGATTTTTCCTTAGTAGGTGTTTTGTTTTTGTTTGTTGTTTGTTTTGTTTGAATGGATGCTCACACCCTTCTTAACCCCTTTTCCCCTCCAGCTGCTGGACTCTTTAGGACTGAATATTAACTTTTAAGACCGAGCTCCTCCCAGAGCCATCTCAGCTCAGAAAAGCAACTTGGCAGTTCCAGGCTTCCTCCAGGCTTTTCTCCCCTTAATTTCTTTGTATGGCATTATGGTTAAATGTGTGGATCCTGGAGTCAGGCAGACCCAGATTTATTTGAATCTGCTACTTCACAGTTACATGGTTTTGGGTAAATGGTTTAACTTCTATGTTGCCTTATCTACGAAATGTGGTTATTTTTACTACATCTGAGGTAATAATGATACTCACACAATCATCTAGGAAGCTTTTTCCCCCCTAATTAAATACATAAGGCCCTTCACCCTAGACCTACCAAAAAGGCTGATGGGGCCAGGATATTGAGAGTGTTTTTGTTTACTGTTTTATCACTGACTGCCCACGTGATTTTTCTGATAAAATGGCTAGATTTGTAAGTCACTCCTGTAATATACATAGAGTATTTAGCATAGTGCCTGGCACAGAGTAGGTATGCAATAAATGCCAGTGATGATTTTCAAAAGGATCGTTCCTCACCCCCCAGACTTCAGGAGCCAGGAAGATGCTATTTAAACACATTTAAGGATGTTAAGAGCAAGCAAGCGGTGCTACTCTTGAGAGTGAATATAGGGTCTGGAGTAGTGTTTTATGAGGTGTGGAGCTGGTTTGAAAAGCATCCCTTTTTTTCCTAAATGAGTATTTTTTTTCTTTTTTTAACTTTATTAAATGAGTATGAGAGCTGTGAGGCACCCATTATTTCCAGAGCTGATCTAGGAGGATTCACAGGATCTGAGCTGCAAATGAAATTTGGTATATATTCCCAGATGAGAGGCAGGAGGGATAGGTCAGTTTAGGGACCAGCACCAGCTTCTACTCCTCAATAAAGGAGGAAAAATTGGGTGGAATTTAGGCCTGGGGTCGCCTTTTAGGAGAAAGATCACTGTGAGCATATCTAAACTCTGGACTTCCCTAAGGCCAGGTCTTCCCTGGACCCAGCTGAGCCATTGTGTCTTCCAGTAATAGCTTCAAGCATGTAGCCATTAACTGGACTGACCAGCTATTCCTAGCTTATGGAGGAGCCAGACCCCAGCCCATAGCAGTGAGGATTGTGAGGAGAGCCCTCAGCACTTCCTAACTTGGCTACTCTGTTACAGAAGCAATATCCACGGCAGTGTCATCTGCAACAATGCTGTGATAGAGAAGGGAGCAGACATCAAGGACTGCCTGGTTGGAAGTGGCCAAAGGATTGAAGCCAAAGGTAAACAAAACCCAAATTACAATCACAGATGCCTCTTTTTACCTACCACACTAGCACAGACAATACTCAGTGCTGGTGAGGACTGAGGAACAAGCACATACATACACTACAGTGAGAACATAAACTAATAAAGCTATTCTTGTAGGGGGATTAACACCATTGTCAAATTTTTAAAATTTGACCGAACAGTTCCATTTTTAGGACTTTATCTTACAGATGAGCTCATATATGTATGCATCGTTACTATCAAAAAATTTAAAACATACCAAAAAGATTGAATGGCCCTGATTCGCACCAATAGTTTACGAGGACTCTTGGACATGAGAGAGAAGGGCCAGTAATCCAGCAAAGGCTCTGGCCCCCTGAAGTCCTTGAGCACTTCGTCTGACCTGAGGGGTGTGTGTGTATTTAAATATATATTTATTGATTTCAGAGAGAGGAAGGGAGAGGGAGAGACAGAGAAAAACATCAATGATGAGTCCTTGATTGGCTGCCTCCTGCAGGCCCCCAACTGGGGATAGAGCCCGCAACCCGGGCATGTGCCCTGATTGGGAATTGAACCTCGATCTCCTGGGTCCTAGGTCGATCGATGCTCAAGCACTGAGCCACGCCTGGCTGGGCTGGCTGAGTGTTTTTAACCAAAAAATAAACAAAGCTCAAAATCAATAAGAATGGCTAATTCCTTTTTAGATTATTCCTAAACCTAGAACAGGGTGGGACAGGGGAGGTGCTGAAGGAATGAACCCCACCAGTTCTGTATTGATAGGAACCACGTCATTTCCCAATAAGCAAAGGCCTTCACTGTCTTTTTCCTTCCCCTTTATAGAGTCGCATACCTCCCTTTTTGAGCTTTCCAATCAAACAGACCTGGGTTCACATCTCAGATGTACAACTCAATG